TCCCCTCCCCTCTTCTTATTCCCCTCCCCTCTTCTTATCCCCCCTTCTTATTCCCCCCTCTTCTTACCCCCTCCCCTCCTCCCTCTCTTCTTACCCCCTCCCCTCCTCCCTCTCTTCTTACCCCCTCCCCTGTAGCGTGGCCGAGCTGCACTCCGGTCCGCGGTGGCCGGCCGGCCGGAGTGATAGGAAGGTGCACACTCAGTGTGCACTTCCTGTCAGTCCGGTCGGTAACAGGAAACAGAAACTCCGCGCGGAACAGGAGTTTCTGTTTCCTGTAATCGGCCGGACTGACAGGAAGTGCACACTCAGTGTGCACCCTCCTATCACTCCGGCCGGCTGGCCGGCCACCGCGGACCGGAGTGCAGCTCGGCCACGCTACAGGGGAGGGGAGGGGAGAAGCTGCAGCCGCCTGAGGCTCTTAACAGAGCGCTCAGGCGGCCGCGGCCGGCCTTATAGGAATTTGGGGGGCAATTGCCTCCCGGCCCCCCGGCCAAGCCCGCCCCTGACTAGGAGCATTGATTGGTACTCGGTCGGAGTGCCAGCGGGTCCGTCACACCCGCGTTAAAGCATATAACTAAATAATATCAGGGGTTCACTCACAGGTCTTGTGAAAATAATTTGTAGTTTAATGGAACAAAAAAACTTTAACATTAATATAATCAACATTTCGACCCCTACAGGTCTTTTTCAAGATCTTGGAAAGATCTTGAATCTTGAAAAAGACCCGTAGGGGTCGAAAAGTCGATTATATTATAGATATAACTAAAGTTTTGTATGTTCCATTAAAACATAATTCCATTTTAAACGTGGATTTCTTTGAGTCTGTGTTTGCTGCAGTGATGTATCCTGGTTTTGGTCTTGACAAAGGCCCTAAGGGGTTGAAACGTTGCTTTTTGGTCCTGGATTCTAAATAAACTGCCTGCACTTTGGAATTCATTGGAGTGCCTGTATTCATTTTCTATTTTTAACTCAGTGTTTGGTCTTATTTGGTACTGGGACTTGTCCATTGGAGCACCCTGGATTCTGGAATGGAGGGTTGAGTGCACTTACATTATCTTTGTTTACATACTCACTAGCAGACACATACACACACTCACTAACAGACACACTCACAGGAAAACACACTCGCACTAACAGACACACACACACACTAACAGACACACATACACACTAACAGACACACTAACAGACACACACACTCACTAACA